ATAAAAATAAACTTTACAATAAAAATAACATGAGGGGTGCCTAGGGGGCTCAGTCAGTTAAGCTTCTGACTTTGGTCATGATCTCGTGGTTTACAAGTTCAAGCCCCGTGTCGGGCTCTGTGCTAACAGCTCAGAGCCTGGAGCCTGCTTCAGATTCTGTGTCTCCCTCTCTCTGCCCTCCCCTACTCGTGCTCTCTCTCTCTCTCTCTCAAAGAAAAAATAAATACTAAAAAAAAAAATTTTTAGTAACATGAAAGTTTCAGGAAATCAAGATATAAAGGCCAAGAGAGCTATTTTACTATTGTCTTTATTTTGTACCCACAGGCACTACTACCACTGCCAGTGATTTTTTTGTTTTGTTTTGTTTTCAAGAATCTAAGCAGCTCAGGAATGCTACTCATTGGCCTTGGGGGTGGACACATAGCATCTGCCTTTAACACACAGACCAACCGTGTGGGAAACACTGGAAAACTGCTTGAAAGGAGGAGTCCCAATCTTCTGGAAACATGAGATCTTCATCAGAGCAACAGCTCACTACTCTCAGAAGTTTCCTGATGCTACCAGACTGCCTTCTATTTGCTTTCATTCATGCACTCGTGCACCAAACACTTACCCAGTACAATCATGTGCACTACGCTAAGTGCTTGTGATAACACGGTGAACAAGCCACAGTCCCTGCTCTCGTGGCACTTACATTCTAGTGTTGACAGAAAAACAGTAAAAAAGGGAAACACCAAAGCAAACTGGGGATCACATACTCAAAGGTGACATGAGCAAATGTGACTGGACAGAGGAGGGCTGATTTGGACTGGGTAGTGTGGTATTCCAGCTAAGATCCAAACTGTAGGTCAGCCAGGAGAGAAACTGAGGGACAAAGTATTCCAGGAAAATGTCTTGAGGCAGCAAAATAAATCTGGGGTGTTTACAGTACACAAAGAAGTGTGGCTAGAGCACAGTGAGTATGGGGAGAGAGAAATAGGTGAAATTTAAGAAGCAGACAGGATCTAGATGACGTAGAGTCTTATGGGCTAGGACGAGGAGCTTGGAATTTTGCTTGATATTATTTCATATACCCTGACTATTATTAGGAGACCTGAATTTGCCTGTTGCCTTGTCTCTTCCCTCTTACCTCCTGAGACTGGGCTCTCTGCTTTTGCATTTTCCCTGGTTTTCTGTCTCTGCCTTTAACCCTGCTTAGCCCAGATAGGCTGATAGGACTTAAGCCTGAATTATGTCAAAATGTCATTCCATCTACTTGGGGCAAAGTGTCCTTTCAAAAGCAGGGTCTTAGACTGCACAGGTGACCTATCCATGGAGCTGGCCCTGATCTTGATAAATATTATTTGAAAAAAATGCCTTCTATAGATGAATAATTTCTGTTTCATTTCACCTGATCTGTCAATTACATAAACTTATTCAAGATCTTTTAAATGGAGTAGCTCTTCAAACTTGTGGCTTAAAGGAAGCTGCCAGGAAATAAGAAACTAGAATGTTAAGACTTACTGAGACAACTTCATGCCATCACTGTGCACAATCACTGGAAACGGTGATTACCCAGCTTATTCTCAGGCAAACTATAATTCATTCGCTCTCACTATTTATTGAAATACATTACTTTTCCTCTTTTAGGTATGAGGAAATTATTATAATAAGTAGCAACGAAATAAACAACTGTTTGCTAGGTGTTTCATATTGCCAAATGGATCTAGTAATTTTATTAGGCAAATAGCTAAGAAATGCAGCTCAGTGACTAACATATTAAGATTTAAGTAGCTATTTCCATAATTTATGTGATACATAAAAATACTAAAAAAAATGTACTTACAAATCAAAATTTTAAAATAATACATCGTTATAATCTTTAAGTCTTTGGGGAGTCTGGGTGGCTTAGTCAGCTGAAGCTCAGGTCATGATCTCGCAGTTCTTGAGTTCGAGCCCCATGTTGGGTTCTGTGCCGACAGCTTGGAGCCTGGAGCCTGCTTCAGATTCTGTGTCTCCCTCTCTCCCTCTGCCCCTCCCCCTCCCACACTCTGTCTCTCACTCTCTCAAAAATAAATAAACATTAAAAAATTAACAAAAAAAAAATCATCTTTAAGTCTTCACAAAGCCTGAAAACCAATAATCGGTTAAAATATATGACTATCAAATGGTATCTATTTTTTCCCATTTTTTCCTTCTTTTCCTACCTTCAAGCAATTTGCTCACCCTCACCCCACCAAATAGTTTGTATAACAACCAATTTTACATATTATGTAAAACTGAACATGATCATAGCTAACTAGAACACGTTCACAAGGTTTAATTACTTACTGCTAAAGAATAATATTACACATTAGAAGTGCCACGTCTGAGATGTCAGCCCAGCCCCTAATATTTTCAGTTTGTAATCAACACCTCTACCTGCAAAACACAGCTGTACTAACCTTGCCCTGAGGTGCTCCTAGTCCATTCACGGTAGAACTCATTACTTAGCATTAGTTATCATAATGATTTATGCAATATCACAAGCACACTCAGGCTCGTGAGAATTACAGCCAACACCATTTTTACTGCTATCAAGATTACTGTACCTTGGAAAGGAATAGTTTCATTTGCAATTACAAAACAAAATAATAGATGCCAAGACAAAGACACTATCACTGACATATTTATACGGTTACCTGTTGCTACATGGAAGGGGTGCCTGGAGAAAACAAAATGGTTGAAGGGAATGCATTGTTGGCTTCAATGACACCAACGTTTGCATGGGGTTTGTGTCTATGTTGTGAGAAACTTAATATATGTCAGGTCTTGTCCTGACAATGAGGTATAGGAATGAAGGTAGAGAGAGATGAAGAAGATTTTCAGACTTAATACAAGTAAATTTATAGAAGCAGAGCATCTTGAAGTTTTTGTGATGGAGGAGGAAAGAGTCAGAAGATGCTTGGATGTTACTGGCTTTGCAATTTTCTGGCCCTGTGCCTACAAGTTAATCAATTACTCATATACTCTCAAGGTGACCATCATTACTCACTGCAACTGCCTTCTAACCTGCTCTATTTCCATTTTTGCCCTCGCTCCCTTTAATCTATTCTCCACAACAGAACCAATGTGTTTTTTAAAAAATGTGAGGGCGCCTGGGTGGCTCAGTCGGTTAAGCGTCCGACTTCAGCTCAGGTCACGATCTCGCGGTCCGCGAGTTCGAGCCCCGCGTCGGGCTCTGGGCTGATGGCTCGGAGCCTGGAGCCTGCTTCCGATCTGTGTCTCCCTCTCTCTCTGCCCCTCCCCCGTTCATGCTGTGTCTCTCTCTGTCTCAAAAATAAATAAATGTTAAAAAAAAATTAAAAAAAATAAATAAAAATAAAAAATGTGAATCAGATCACATCACTTACATGCATCAACCTGAATTCTGCAATAGCTTCCTATGACTTTTAGAATAAAGTCCAAACCCTTGGACGTGGCTTAAAAGGCTATTATCTGGCCCCTGTATACCTGTTTTGACCTTATTTCCTACTACTTTTCTCCGTGCTCCCTATGCTGGGTACACACTGGCCTCATTTTTGCTCTTTTATTTAGCTCTTTCTTGCCTCTGGGCCTCTGTGTGACCTGGAACTGCCATTGTGCAGGTAGGTTCCTTACGATGCAGGACTAGGCTCCAATGTCACATCTTCAGAAAGACTCCACTCCCTCTTCTCATCATTATTTTTAATCACACTCTCCTATTCTATTGTCCAGCTGTACTGATTGTTATCTGAAATTCCCTCATTTATACATTTGTTACTTGATAATCTCCCAGGTCCCTCAGTAGAAAGTACACTTTATCATAAAGAAGTGATTCATGTTTGACTTTCTCTGTGCTGTAGCCTCAAGTAGGTTGAACACGGTCCGGCCCATGGAAAAATTACAAAAAATAAATTAAATGGTTTTATTAAATAAATGTTATTTAACACCAATTTTAATAAATAAATGTTATTTATTTACGTCTCAGGCTTTCGGCTTCCTCATCCATAAACGGGGGATAATCCTACCTGTGCCAGTCATTAGAAATAGAGTCTAACGTTTACTAAATTTTTACTATGTCTCAGGCACTGTGAAAGTCACTTTATAGGCATATTCTTATTTACGATTATGCTTTCCATTTTACACAAAAGGCCACCACGTCTTACGTCAAATAACTGGCCTAAGGACACAGGACCATAGTGTGACGCAGGTATGACCCCAGAGCTGCCAGAGCTCAGAACGTGGGCTTTTTACCCACTACTTTATAGTTCCTAGAAAGATGCTTCCTTCCATTACAGCAAAACTAGCCTGTGCCCTCTTGCTCCCCCCAGCTCCTACTTCGTCCGTCCCGTGGGTCAAGTGAAGAAAGGTATTACATCCCCTACGGGGTTCTTTTCCAAGATGAACATCCCCATTTCTTTCAATCCTTCCTTTTTAAAGGATCCTCGCATCTCGGTCACGCTCCTCAGGCCAAACTCGTTTGACAACGTCTTTCTGCTCCAGAACTGGTCTTTTTAACTGGGCAAGTTAAGAGGCATCAGAGAAGTGGAAGCCAATTCCCAGGGGGCGAGGAAACGCCGACGTGGGAGTGTTGTGGTGCGCTGTGGTGAACACAGGCAGGCTTCCTGGAAGAGGTGATCCCTGAGCTCAAGTCCAGAGCAGTAAGCAGCGGCCAGCGGCTGAGGGCCGCTAGGTCGAGACAAAGGGTGGCGGACTTTAGGAAGATCAGGGACACAAGCCCAAATGGTGATGTGCTTGCACGCGGCGGAGCGCAAGGCGTTTTCCTAAAAGGAAGTTAGAATAGGCACTGGAGGGAAGCACAGTGGGAGGAACACTCAAGAAGTAAAACGCGAACTTACCCGTAATCTGGCTACCCGGCCTCCGTAGCCCGACTGCAAACGCCGCCACCTGAAGAGTCCAGTAGCCAAAGCAGCGGCAGGCTCATCCCAGATGTCGCGAGACTGAGCTGGCCTCGCGAGATCTGGCCGTTCGTCGTGACGTCTGGAGCTCTCTCCGGGGGCTATGGGAGGGCTCTGGCGTCCCGTATTAAGGACCGCTGCTGTCTGTGGCTGGCGTTGGAGTCACCCTGGGTCCCCGACCTGGGTTGCGGAGAGGGTACAGCCGTATCTCAGGGTGGGAAGAAATGGGACAGGAAGTGATGAGACAGGGCTGAGGTGGATTGGGACATGGAGGCGTCCGAACCCGGCCCGGGACCTGGCCCTGCAGCCGCCGCGGAGGCCGAAGAGCACGAACCCTTTCACGCGCGCGCAGGAGGAGGATTGGCGGCGTCGGAACAAGACGGTCCTCACGTACGTGGCCGCAGCCGCAGTGGGCATGCTGGGGGCGTCCTACGCCGCCGTGCCCCTTTATCGGCTGTATTGCCAGGTAGGCGCCAGGGCTGCACCCTGGGCTGTGCCATCAGGAGGGGCGGAGGTGCAGGACAGCTTCCTGGACAGCGATCGCTCCTCCGTGTCGTGTTGGAGGGATGTCTGAGGTTGCTCCACCAGAGAGGAAACAGGCTTTGAAAAGTGACTTGCCCAAGCTTACCAAAAAAAGTTAGTGGCAAAGTTACGGATAGAACCCACGCCCCTATAGTGATCGTGCTTATACCGACCACACTGCAGAGTGAAAGTTCCTATCTCTGAGCTACATCACCTAAAAGGTCCGCAGCCTATATACTCTGCCGTCCGGCAACCTGCCTTACCCTCTTGCTACTCACACAGATGTTCGCGTTTAAAATGTAAATTACGTTAGTACAGTCATTCTGTGAACCGTGTATGGTTTACGTGCGAAGGTTAACCCAGAAATGGGAGTATGCTTGTAACTTGGGCTTAAACTGGGAGTAGCGTTTAATTCATACAAAGAGGCATGAGGCTTCCCTCCACTGTTAATATATGACTGTAATGTGCTTACCCAGGGCTCTCTTTTAGATCAGAAACCCTAATGCAGTTGTTCTTCAAGTGTGTTTCCCCGGACGACCAGCGTCCCATCACCTGGGAACTTGGGTGCACATTCTTGGATCAAACTGCAGAGCTACTGAATCAAACTCTGGGGGAGGGGCCCAGCTATCTGTGTTTTAATAAGTCCCCTAGCTGATTTTGATGCAGACTAATATTTGAGGACCATGTGCGAAGCCACACTTTTATTTATTTCGTATATATTCATATAAATTCGTATATATTCTCCTTAAGTAGTTTGCTGCTTTGGCTGGTCATTAGGACTCCTAGTGGAGCTACTTTAATGAACATGTTAGGGCTCCCTTACCTAGAAATACTGATTAGGAGGTCTGGGTGTGGCCCAGGAATTTCTGTTTAAAAAACATAACACAGGTTAGAGCTACACATTATTCATTAAATGATAGTGATTCTCCAACTTTGTTGTGAGTGGGAATCATCTGAAGAGCTTTTAAAAAATCCTGACACTCAGGTCACATCCGGAACCACTTAAATCAGAATGTCTCAGAGTGGGAGTCAGGTATTAGTAATGTTTTAAAGATTCCTCGGGTGATCCCAATGTGTACTACTTTGGGAATCATTGGCTAACTGCTTTTTCCTGCCAGGATTGTTAATGTCGGTCTTACTTTCCCTGTCCTTTTGGAGATTAACTTGACCTTATTTTTTATAACTAAAGCAAGTCAAAAGGACTTTTCAGTCTCCTAATATTGGCATTTATGTGGGTATACAGTAGTTTGATTCAAGAGGATGAGTGTAGAATGTGAATTAGTTTTCATCAGACGGCAGCCTGGACCTAGCATGAATCCCAGAACTAGCAGTTGGTTAAATCATAAGCAGAACTGAATCCAAAATATCAAGTATAAATCTCTGAAAATCATGGGGGTGGAAGGGGTCAGTTTTATTCTTCAGGGAATATTTAGCAGTGTGTGAATACATTTTTGGCTGTCACAACCTGGGAGGTGAACAGGAGGGGTGCCACTGGTATCTAGTGGGTAGAGTCTAGGGATGCTGATTGGTAAACATTCAGCATTGCACAGCACAGACACTCGCTCCTCCCCAAACCAAAGAATTATCCAAACCAAAATGCCCTTAGTTCCAAAGTTGTGAAACTCTGCTTTAAACTGAAGTGAATGACAGTATTTTTGCATGTGTGTGCAAATGCAGAGCAGGATAGGCAAAACAATTGTAATTTATAATCCTAAACTTCAGTCAAGTTTGATGTTAAGTTTCCAGAAGATCATCTCTTTCGCTTTTGGAATCACAGAACTTTAGAGCCAAAAATAAAGAATTATATAAACAATTTAATACAGAGACCTCATTTTATGAGTATGGATAGTCCCCCAAAAGTAAAATGTATTTAATTCTTGGAGCTAGTTAATGGCAGAACTAGACTAGAGCCCAGGAAATATTTTCATTGCCCTTCTCTATTCTTACTTCTCTAATTATCAAGCTTGCAAATTTGAAGGATCTGTATTCAGAGACTTCCTGTCACAATATATTAAGGAATCTTTATTCAACTGATTCAGATTCTTCAGGAGTTACATCTTAAAACTTAAGCATTATAGCCCTCTCGGGCAGAAGAATTTACTTACTAAAAAAAAGATAAAAGGCTTGCCCTCTAATACATCTTGTAGGTTCATAATGTACTTCAGTAATGTTGCATGGCAGCTGAGTACAGTTAGGTGACTTGTGTAATAAGTGGAAGATAGTAATACTGTATTTTGCTGGGAGTCTTCCCCTAGCCTCAAATTTGATATTTTTTTCCTAGTATAGTAACAGATTAATTATCCGAAGACCAGAATTCTGGCAACCTCACGCATCAGAAGAATGATGACCCTGGAAGTAAGGATTTTTATTTTTAAACATCTGTGATGATAAGGAGATAATGGCAATGAAGATAGGCAAGAAGAGTCAGGCACAAATATTCCTGATGTCTTAAGGTTCGTTGATTCAGCGGTGAAAGGGATCAGGTTCTCTGATTAACTGATGATGTTTATAAAAGCTGTACTATACAAAGAAGTACAGGAAAAAATTACAGAAACATTTATTAACATGGCAGAACACTTGTGATGCTTGAAAAAAGCAGAATACAAAAGTGAAGCTACAAACTAATCTATGCCATAAAAGTGATGATATGGAAAGGGATCAGAGGGGGCTATGGGTAATTTAATTATTTAAATAGTTTCATTGAAATGATAGGGTCATGGGTAATTTTTACTTCTAATGACTAATAGTTTATATAAAACACTGGCAATAAAAGGAAATAGGTTTTATGAAAAGTTAAGCTAAAATTCTGAGCTATATTACCATTGGTGAGTCAGCTTTCTCCCATATGACTCTTTTTTTTTTTTTTTTTTT